ATTTAATGAATACATTATTATTATGAAAGGTGTAAATCAACTACGATCTGCATTAATACTACGTGTTCAGTAGCACATATTTCTATTATTGGCGTTTTATAAAAGGTGCTATAGCCGTAAGTAGCTATAAAACCAGCAATAATAACCTATATTATAATGTATTATCTGGTTCATGAAACATACATCCTTGGTTGAGTTTGTATTAGATTATTATTGCAATGAAAATCTTAGAATCGACCAATTATAACCTATATTATAATGTATTATCTGGTTCATGAAACATACATCCTTGGTTGAGTTTGTATTAGATTATTATTGCAATGAAAATCTTAGAATCAACCAATTATAACCTATATTATAATATATTATCGGGTTCATGAAACATACATCCTTGGTTGAGTTTGTATTAGATTATTATTGCAATGAAAATCTTAGAATCAACGATATTAAGTCGTGTTACATTTAACTATACATACACGTGTACATACTTCTTTCACATTAGAGTAGTATCCTCACACAATTCATAAACCAACAAGAAAAACCCGCCTTATAACTGCATCTATGCAAGTCTACATATACATACATCATCTGTTGGTGTTTTAGAGCGGTATATTACAATGACGAACAATACAAGCTACCTTAACATGTGTGTGTTCACGAATATAAAACGTATGATCACCGAAATGTTAAGAAATTATTTTTCTCATCTCAAGTTGAATATAAACAATACTGACCTAAATCACATGATTATACGTCTACATGCGCATATTTCTAGATTAATAGCCTGGTAGTAGTTAGGGTGCTCGACTCAAAATCTGCGGGTCGCAGGTTCGAATCCCCGTCACCGAACATGCTTACCCTTTCATCCGTAGTATTATAATGTGATGGTCAGTTCCATTATTCGTTTGTAAAAGATTAGCTTAAAAGTTGGCGGTGGGAGTGTTGACTAGCTGCCTTCTCTCTAGTCTATTGCTGCTAAATCAGAGACGAAAACCACAGAGTGCAGATAGCTCTCGAGTACCATTGCGCGAAATTCAAAAACAAACAAACACAAACTAAATTAGCATTTACCCGGGCTACTCCTGCCTTATTAGTCCTTTGACGACTTTTGGTTTGAATATCAACAATAGGAACCTAAACTATATGACTATTTGTCCACGTATGTATGGTTCTAAATTAGCATTTACAAGGGTTTCGCCTATTGTATTAGCCCTATGAGGACTTATGGTTTAAGTCCTTTATCATATGAAATATTCTGGAGGAACAAAGCGTTTTTGTTTTTTACTTATAATATATACAACACTGTTTTAATTTGAATAATAAATGTCTGGGTCAATTCTTTCATTACATTTCATGCTAAGGAATTTTAGAATTAAAAACAAGGATAAACACATTATTATTTATAAGAAGTTATTAACCAATGTAAAATCCTTTGATACAGATACTCAAATAAAAGATTTGATGAGCATCGGATGTATTCTCTGAAGCTTAGATGACGAACAACAGATAACAAGAGATTTAAAGTTGAAATCTTCTGCAAACTTGATCGAGTTGAAAATGTTAATCTACTCATTATTCTCTAAGATTCGTGAAAAATAAAAACTTATATGCATATTTCATTTGTCGGTCTTTGAACATAGTAGTTAAATCCGCTGATCTGAAGCTCAAGAAATATATTTTTGTGTTTTAATTATATTTCACAAGAATCACATTTAAAACATATATACTAAAGCTGTTTAATGACTTTCCAGAATGGCAATCTCAAGTTACTCTGACAAAAAACAAGTTGTAGCTTTCTGAACGCATTAAACAATAATACAAAGTAAAACATTTACTGTACTCCTCTTTTATATTGTCAGTTGCATTTGCACGTTATTAATAAACCTCTTGTTTCAGTTTACATTAATCTCGAATAAATTTAAATGCAACTGCTAAAAATGAATTGCAAGAATTTCGAAAGATCCAGGAAATTATTATTTTGTTTAGTTTTTATTAAAACAGCGTCGTTCTTCTCTTTATTGTAACATTCTAACTCCATTAAAGAAGCTAGGTTCTGTTGCTTGTTTTGTTGCCTCTGAAGGGCAGACATCAGTCCGAGAACTAAAGTTTCAAATAAAATGTTCCTGTTTCTCTATATACTCATTACAGTTTTATAGCTGCATATTTTTCATTACATATTTCTCTATCTATGCATTACAGCTTTATAGCTGCATATTTCTTTATCTATCCATTACAGCTTTATAGCTGCATATTTCTCTATCTATGCATTACAGTTTTATAGCTGCATATTTCTTTATCTATGCATTACAGCTTTATAGCTGCATATTTCTTTATCTATGCATTACATATTTACAGTTGCATATTTCTTTATCTATGCATTACAGTTTTATAGCTGCATATTTCTTTATCTGTGCATTACAGCTTTATAGCTGCATATTTCTTTATCTATGCATTACATATTTACAGTTGCATATTTCTTTATCTATGCATTACAGTTTTATAGCTGCATATTTCTTTATCTATGCATTACATATTTACACTTGCATATTTCTTTATCTATGCATTACATATTTACACTTGCATATTTCTTTATCTATGCATTACAGCTTTATAACTGCATTCTTCTCGAGGTAGTCATTAGAGCTTTACAGCTATGTTACTAGAAGGCGGTTTTGTTTTTGTTTTTTTAAGCCTTTATGGTGTTTCTCTAAAATGTGTTTATTATCTTTTTAAGTAATTTCCTAACCTCCCGAACTTGTATCAAATCTAAAACAAAACTAACAAAAAGAAATGCAAGTTTATTGTTTATTATTATTTTTGTTTAAGTTATTGTTACATTACATTAAACTATTATCAAGACGTTGCTTAATTTCAAAACAATTAGAATCTATTTCTACTATTATCCAGACTGGTGTCATATCTTATGAAAGACTGGCATGATGCACATTATTTTGAAGTCCTGAACAACTTGATATATTTGAAGTTTAGCTACTTTCCATTTCCTAAAACCAAACATTCTGAAGCTATATTTGGGTTTTTTTCAATAAAACAAGGTTTAATCAGATCTATTATCTACGTCTAGTAAGAGTCAGTGTACAAAATATATATTTCAGAGAAAGTGAAGAATATACAAAGTGATATATAAAATCTGGTAAAATAGCAGTACATTACGAGTCACGTATCTTTTCTTAAAGATAACTTCAATGCTCTTAGGCAACGAAACACGACTTTGTAAAGTCTACTGATATATATTATTAAAATGGTTGCAGTGCAACAGTACATAATATGTCATAATAGAGGTTACAGTAATTAAACAGTTATTATTGAGCATTATTACTTCGAGCACAGTAATTCAAAACACAATATTCTGTACGATTAAAATGGCTACAATAACTCTAAACGTAACATTTTGCATGAATATTAAGATTGCATTCATTCAATACTTAACATTCTACATGATACAACAGTCATAGTAATGTAGCGAATTACGTTGTGTGATCAAATTGGTCACACTTAATTAATGTGCTACAAGCTATAGAATTAAAATGGTTACAGCGAACAATACATACTGTTATAAGTGATTTTACGGGACGGGTTTATTTAAGACTTAAACTTAAGTGTTATTTTTATTGGCCCAGCGATTAGGTCTGATATGGCTTGGTTATTAGGGAGGGCTCTTTACTCACAATCTGAAGTTCGCGGATTCGAATCCCGTCCCCAAACATGCTCGCTTTTTCAGCCCTGTTGACATTATAGATAATGTGACGGTCAATCCCATTATTCGTTGATAAATAGTAGCCCAAGAGTTGGAGGTAGGTGGTATTGACTAGCTTCCTTCCCTCTATTCAATCACTTCAAAATTAGGGACAGCTAGCGCAAAAAGTCCTTCTGTAGCTTTTGGTGAAATTAATAACAAAACAAGCCAAACTGAACAATTATATTGTGAACAAGTTGTAGTACCCATTCCCTGGACGGAAGTTATGTAAATTGATGGTTAATGAAACTTATCTTAGCACATGAAAAGTTGCTTCCCTTATATGTAATTATGAAAAACGAGAAAACGCCCATAAAAACTGAAAAACACAAAATGTGAAACCGCAAATTTGCATGTATCTTTGCATGAACCCAACAAACCTTCATGCAAATTTGGTGAAGATCCATCAAAAGGGCGCGACGTAGTAGTAAGAAAACGTAAAAATGCCCATAAAAACTGCAAAACGCAAAACTGAAAATTTTTAATACCCCATGGACCTAATGTACCTCCATAACAGGAGGTGAGGTAGTGGTAAAAATGCAAAAACGTCTATAAAAACAGCAAAACTCATAATGCAAAACTGAAAATTTGTATGTATCCCCGCATGGACCTATTGAACCTCCATACCAATTTTGGTAAAGATCCATCCAAACCCTGTGTGGACATACAACAAACATTATTATTATATTTATATAGATACTGATTCCTATTTTGTGCAATTATACAGATCACAGCGAACTATTGTGATTATAATGTCATTGGTAGGGTTATTCTTAGTTTGGTATTAATACTTATGGGACTTAGTACAAGATATTCGATATATATGAAATCTTTCTATGAATTTAAGTGTCTTTTTATATAGAAAAGCACAATTATGATACGGTTATTAATAGAATAAAGCATGATATAGCTAAAGTTTCCATTTTGTAAGAAATGTCAAACACGTTTTCATGTGTTTGATAATCCTATTTAATAGAATAAATTCCCTGTTTGCATTATCTACTTTGATTTGAATGCATTGAATTAATCAGTTATTGACAGGTTTGTATCTAAAGTCAGTCACTTCTAGAACTGTCTCAATATGCAGGTTTTAGTTTCATCACTTAACAACTAAAGAAAGAACAGCCACGTATCTTGTTAATGATCTCCCTGCCACTCTCAACGGGCTGGTGGCATCACGCATAAAAGTACCAAAGCGCATGCGTTAACGTTACATGATGCGTCCTTTTCCTCCGTTCAAGGAAATGCTCGTGCAGGTTCTCATAGAAACGGACGTAGAATATACGAGAGTGGACAGCTTGTTTGTTTGGCTGAACACAGTTGATGATCGGAATCAAGGATCTACAGAGTAACATTCTTCAGAATAGCAGTAAGTCACAAAAACCGCCAGAAAGAAAGGTTATATCATACTTTCAAAGTTTAAGTTTGCAATACTGTCCTTGGATCAAAGTAGGAATCACAAACAACCTGATCGCAACCGTTCAGCTTGCTATAGGGTAAGGACATCTATAGTTTGCAATCTATCCATTGTAACTATTTTGGATTAGAAATATATAATATAACCGGTGCTAACTCTAAGAGGAACTGATTAATCTCCTACCCTCAATTTCAATTGCATTTTTTTATAATGAAAGCTGAATGACATTTCTAAATGTTTATTTGAGAGTCACCATTTCACCACAAGATGACATTAGCATTCTCGACTTTTCTACGCTGTACAAAACCGTTCAAACTATTAATAAACTGTAGCATATCAGAGAAAAACCTGGTGTAATACAACGTTTTTAGATATTCATAGGAAGCAAAAGGCAACAGACTGAGAAGAAAAATGTTTTTGAAGCAAGTGAACAGTTACCTCACTAAACACTTTCTATGTCTCATCATCTTATCATGCTTCCGACAAATTCATGGAACAACTGACCGTGTAAGCCCTCGAGTTATAATGACGAAGTATGGCTCCTTGAAAGGAATAATCCGGGAATTAGCAAACAAGGACCTTCAACCAGTTGAAATTTTTTACGGTATCCCCTACGCAAGTGCCCCAGTGGGTTCTTTAAGATTTATGCCGCCCGTTACTCCACCTCACTGGCGAAATATCCGGACAGCTTCAAGCCTCGGTCCAGTCTGTCCACAGAAGTTTCCGGATATCAGGAACCACACGGAAGCCCTGAAGAGGATGCCCCCCGAAAGGCTTGCTTATCTGCATCGCCTCATTCCATTCTTAAACAGCCAGAGTGAAGACTGCCTGTATTTAAACATATACGCACCTTCCATACGTAAGTACTTGCTTTTATATAGAAATTTCTACGAGTATATTGTAGTAGCTAGTTATGCTGATTAATATAATTATTTATACACCACATAAGATTTTATATGTGAATTAGAACACCACAGTTTGAAATTAACGTTCTTCCTAAAGTTGGCAGACATATATCAACAATGAGAAGTACTAAGTGCCTTTTCGCCTTTGTTTTCTCAGTTTGGTATTAAAAGTAAATTACTTATGGCGATGCAAATGTTTTTGGTGAATCTTCTAAGGAAATCTTTGTTTGTTTGTGTTTTTGTTAGCGCAAGGCTACACAATGGGTTATTTGTGCTGCGCCTACTAAAGGGATCGAACCCTAATGTGTTTAGCGTTTAAGCCCTCAAACTTACTGCTGAACTGTGTGGTAAGGATGGCACATGGAAGAGGTAATAGAGTTATTTTAAAGTTACAAATTAGTTTAGTTCACCTTAACATGCCACCAGGTGGCATAGCGACAAGTCTGAGTGCTCATAACACTAGAAACCGGGTTTCGATATCTGCAGAGGACATAACATAAATAGCCTCTTTGTGTAGCTTTGTTCCTAACAACGAAAAAATTTCCAATACATATACATACATTTCATGAACTTCAAATCCTTACTAATAGTTTTGAAATACTGAGGTTCTCTGAGCTATAAATCGAATGTAGAAGCTTCCTATTACATATAATTGGGGGTCTACCAAGCGAAAGACAGAAAAATTACCATTAAGAATATTTGGTACTTTATGAGATGAAATTGGAATATCTATTTCCAACAACGAGCGAACTCTTTCAGTCACATAAACCCGATAACAAAGCTCTCTCCGTAAAGTTTATCGTTTCACTTCTAGAATAGATTAAGGGATTTTACACTATTATAGGTTTTGGTGTATCACAGTAGAGTATTCTCATTATTTCGTAACAGACGAAGAAAGGAAAAAAGTAATTTGAAGTAAAATAAAAGGCTTCTTTACTTTTTTTAATCGATTTGGATTGATTTTGTATATCCAAATACATCTTTAATAAAATTATTGTAGAAATGCATGGAATTTAACTAAAGTTCAATGTTCAGTTGAGTACCTTGGTCTGAAATTTAGTGTTCTGAAGCATGTTTGTATGAACAATAGAATTTCACTGCGAGTAGTATTGGATAACATTGAGCCCTAATTGACGAAAACTAAAAAAATAATATTACCTCATCATTTGTATTTTATAATAAAGTTTTAAAAGTGTGCTGAGTATAAATTGATAAAGCAGGTCTCAATGATGATCATCTAATGATATTTTCAATAACTATTCGAGGGATTGTAAACTCTGAACTATAAACATTACCTGTGAATATGTTACTCTACAAACAAAATATTTATCATACTTTTACACGCAGCAAACAACCCATTCATAAATATATAATAAAACTATATTTTTTTTTAAACAAACTCATTCTTTATTCACATCTTTTATTAGGACTTGGACATTTATACATTTCTAACCAGAGAATCATTAATGATTAATTCTTAAACCAAAGGGTTTCTCTAATCGGTTTGACTTTTTTCGGGACAGTTACTTGGAAAGCTTTTGTAGGGGAGACAAAAACGTCCTTACAAGATTGTTATTACTACATGTAGAATTCATTATACTCCACTGTTCCTGTAACTGTTTTTCTGATATCAGTTTTCCAATTCGGAGCATATTAAATTAGACATTTCACAAAGAATTGAGAAGCGTTTGATTCTAAGCGTTCGAATGATTACGAGTATTAAACAGAAATAATTCTGTGCTCTCTCAGAGGCCACTTCAAATGCAGTAAATTCAATAAGAGTTTGTTGCAAGTACGTTATCAAAACACTATTCGCAACCCTAGAACAAGTAAAAGTTTCCAAACTCAGATAACGCTTTCCGACAATTTCAAGGTTTTCTGACATTGTACTATCAAGATTTTGTTACTGTTCAATGGTTAGATGCACAGTAGAACGAGTGTGATAAGGCAATGCGGTTATTTCTCGTATTGAGTTTTCAAACATGGCGTAATTCACTCAATGTACAATGTCAAGGCATCGTAACGCACCTTGGTACTACAAATCTACCTATTTAGTGTGTGTCATTTTATTACAGTCAGTAACCTTTCTGGCAGAGCATTCTGGGTGGACCATGCAATAAACTCATGACGTAAAAAATAAGCTACAGTTTAGGAACAAAATATTAGGAAATTATTTTACAACTTACATTCATTTGGTTAATACTCACGGTATTGTGTATTTTACATTAATATTCATCACTTGTGTAAATACGTTTGACTGGACAATATATATTTTGTGTTCGCTTTTAATGGGGGTTAAACAAAAATGTAACTTATCTAAGCCTTATATTATTTCTTAACATCTTATGGCATTTTGGAAGTTCTTAAAATGTCAATGTACTGCGATTATGTATTTTGTTAGCATTAATAGAAACATATTTGCTATCACCCACAGGTTTGTATATATAAATTTATGTCGTAAGGCAATATGGATAATTGAATCAGTTAGTAATATGGAGTGAATATCTATATTTAGAGACAATGCAATAATGAAATTAGTTTAATGTTCCCTTTAAATAAAACTGATACCAATATGACTTAAATATTAATAAAATATAATGTAACATATTTTTACTTTAAAAAGGCATTGTGAACCTTTTGATTTTTGTTTATAAGTGGAATTATGAGTAATACACACGTATTCAAAGAGATAAGACTAAAATATATTGTTGTGACAAAAAACACAACCTGAAGTATTTATCTACGTGATTTCTGAGTTTCGATCGTCATCAGAATATATAACTGATAATGAAATAATGTATTTGTATTTCACTATTCTTTTTTCTTTTTTGCAGTGCGTAAAATTTATAAAAATGCATAATATGAACCTGCATAATTCCAGGATATTCATTTCCGATCAGAGCAAGCTTCCTTATTAGATCAAAACTAAAAACATCAACTCAGTAAATAGTTTATCTAATTAAATATACTTTCGTTACGTTGTTATATACACACACACATACACACATATGTATGAGAATGCAATGATTCATCAGTTGAGTATTCTCGTTGTTAGCAATATTTTCGGCCGTAAACCCAATAATATCTCACGAAGAAGTTAAGGTTATTCCTAAATCCGTGTACTAAGTTAACACAGCAAAACAATCTCTATAATAAAACTATATATATATTAAGTATTCTAATAAAACTACATATATTAAGCATTCTAATAAAACTGTTACTTAAGATAACAATAAAAATAACATAGTATAATTTACTTATGTAACACACAAGCACTATTTTTGTTTGTTTGTTGGATTTTGTAGAAATTTACTCGAGGGCTTTCTCTGAAACACGTCCTTAATTAGGACAAGAGGGAAGACAACGAGTCATTACCATCTTGCTGGGCTATTCAAGTCAGAAATAGTGAGATTTGACCATCGCATTTATAACACAACTGCAGCCTAAAAGTGCGGAGCATGATCTCTGTTTCTATTTTTGACGGTAATAGGGCATAAACCACTGAACTATTAGCTCCACAGTCCGGCACGCTAATTACTACCCAATACCAAAATCAAGTGTTCTACAAGTACAGTACCTAAACCATGTAAATGGGTATCATTTTATCTGTTATTAACTTTGGTTACATACCGTTTTAGAAACAAAACGTTCGATAGTACCTGCGACTTTTGTTTGCACATTAAGATAAGACAATTAAATTATATATTGACTCTAATTCAGACTTTTACATTTTATTTGTTATCCAGTGAAAAGCCGAGATAAATTGAAACGTTATACCTGAAAATCAGCTCTTGAAAGTTGAGCGAATGTTGCCGTACACATTACTACAAGGAATTTAAGTTTTTTTTTTAACAAGGTTATGAAAGATACTTGGAAATGCAATAAAATATTTATAACTTTTGAAGCTATTATCAAATTCGTTCACTTAGCATTTCTGGACCACATATTTTATACAAATTTTATTTTGTTTCTTTGCAAAGTGAGTAGAGTAGAAATAACATCTTAATAATTATTATATTTATTTTTACGATGTATTATGCTGATATTTGTATTTATATCTAAATTTCCAAAAACTTTGAAAACAATGAAAATTAAATCAATAAAAAAGAATAGACCAAACCCGAAAACTGCTGCTTTTCTTTGTCAAAAATGGGGAATATTCTAAATAAACACAAATGAAATGATTCCCAGATTGATTTAGAAAATATCCCAAAAATATATTTATTGTATTATTAGTAAGTATTTAAACATAACTAAGCTATTGAAGGTAGCCTATGAGCCTCGAATCATAGTGCACTGTCTAGGAATTAGTTTACTACTTGTGAGATTCTGAACTTTTACTACCATAAGTTGTGTATGCATCCATTTAACCCTAGATTAATCAAAGTAAAATTATAACCATATAATCTTAGCGCTTTATCACTTTTAAGGCATGAATGCATTGTTATACAAATTATTTGAGGAACTTTAAGAAAATCAAATTTTCTAGAAGTTGTTAATTTCTAAAATGCCCACTTTGCTGTCTGCATTACTTTCTACAACTGTTTTGCACATGTAACTAAGGAGAATTACCATTATAGTATTCTTGTCTGAATAACAACATACGATTGGCTGTTGATTGGAAGTTATCAGTAAAAAGAGGTATATAAATATTTCAAACTGCATGAAACTTGGCAACATAAAGTATTAGCTTTCACAAACGTATAAATAATGTGCTCAGTGTGGCATTAACAGTGTTTTGACGACAAGTTGTAGGAAATGCAAAATATTCAGTAATGGCACAAAATAGCTTCAAACGTGTAATTAATGAAGTTACTTCCTGGTTTAATGACATAATAGAGATAAAAGCTATAATAGTGGTTACGAACTGAAAGTTGTAAGTCCTTTTCCTATTTCATTCATATAATAGAGATAAAAGCATTAAACTCACAATAAATAAAAAGTAAAGAAATTG